ATGCCATGGCACTCTACCCAGGGGGATAGCTTGAGGCTCTGTCTAAAAAAAAAAAAAAAAAGAAAGAAAAAAGTTTTTAAAACTCTACATATGTATATAAAGTGGCTAGAACTTACAGGAAGAGACAGAGAAGGAAATTATTTCCTCCACTTTCTGGCTGTATGTAGTGATGGGAGTCAGTGTAGTGGTAAGAGACAGAGATGTATGTCTAATTCTAGACAATGACAGCAGTTCAAAGCAACCCTGAACTGACATGATCTTGAATACCTTACATACATACCTCTGTCATGTAGGGCCAACAAAACCCGTTCGTACAAGCAGGCTCTATAGAGGTCTCCAGGAATAGGCTTTCCTGCCCAGCAGTCAAGTTCAAGCTTCTCAGGGTCGGGGGCATGGGGATCAGGCTCAGCTAGAATATACCGATAGCCATCTTTGTTAAATGGGTGTTCCAAGGGATAGCCATGAGGGGGAAGGCGCTGAGCAGAAAACAAAGGATCACTGCAGAAAGGAAAAAATAAAATCAAGAAACTAAACCCCCTCTAGTTCAACTGCATTTAATTGTGTAAGAAAGGACTCTTACTAGATTTGAGTTGGAACACACAGAACTTCACACTTCTCATTACTCAAAAAGATCATTTTGCCCTCTGCAGGCAAAATGGGGAAATGAGAAGGATTAGCTTTGGCAAAGCAATTTTAGTTAAATTACTTATAGTTTGTAGGGATCTTCCTGCTGGTTTCTGAGCTTGTACATTGTTGGAAAGAAGTGGAGGAGAAGAATGAAAGTGATTTCCTTTAGTATATTTATTATTATAGGAACAGAAACTCAGAGAAAGGAACACTTACTATCTGTTACATTTATTAGACAAAGGGAAGGGGAGACGCATGAAAGGGAGAAGCAGAGAACTGAGTAAAAGAGCTAACATTCAATATTGAATATTGAATAATTTCACTCCTTCTCCCCCATCTATCCTTTCTTAGGACACCTTAACTGAACTTTTACTCCTCTTAGGAGTAAAAGAGACTTATCAACAGAGGATGCAATGAGCCTGAGGTTCATTTCTGTAGAAACAAGTTCATGAAATGAATACCTAGCCTGGGTTATTCTAGCCCTCACAATGCTCAAGGTTTGGGAAAAATGGACAGGCTTTTATCCTCAGACACTTGAGCTAATGAAGAATACAGCTCTTTTCCCTCTAGTGAACTTTACCAGCACCAAATAACACCCAAATGGGGGCCAGAGGGCCAACTGTGCCCACCTCCGAGCCTTCTTGGTGGTCCCTGTGGTTCCTCCATCCTGCTGTTTGCGCTTAGCTCCTCTTCCTTTTCCACTGCTGCCCACTGCAATTCCCCCTTGGAAGAGAAGGCAGAGTACTGTCAGTAAGCCTTGATGGAAGCCCAGTGTGGATTCTGAAATTCCAGGGGGGCCCAGCACACCCAAAGTGCATTTGTGTAACACCATGGGAAAATTTCCTTCTCAAAAGCATATTGGATTTCACCTTTGTTCAGAACTCTGGGTTCTGGCAGTGACCTCAAATGAACCTAGCAATAATGATACCTGTGTTAACATTTCCAATTTTCCTTTCTTAATGAGCTGTAGCTACAAGTATACTTTCTGAGGGTGTGACACAAATGCATTTTCACTCATTGAAATTCCAAACAGCCACAGCTAAAAAGAATGAAAACTACTGCGTGGATATACTTTTTTCCACCCAAATTAATATAAACACCCATAAAGAGAGACTATCCTCACTGTAAACTGATGTTCACTTGCTTGAACTTACACAATGTCTTCCATAAAGGCACAATATCTGCTAAAGCACTTAACGCAAATATCCAACAAGACAAAATACATCAAACGTGGAAAACAGAAACGGAAGTACTAAAAAGGTGTTTCTCTCCAGTGGTGCTAGATATCCAGAGCAGGTGTATAGAACACAAGAAAGAAGGCTTTAAATTTAGCAGGCAAGTTTTAGTTCCATATCCATTTGTCAATGCAACATTTATTAAGATCATTCTAATGCATAAATTTCAGGTTAGACTAACCTGGCTTGTGAGGAATTAATATCAATAGACAATTTACATATTTCATACAAAAAATATAGCTGCATCCTAAGGACACAAGGAAAATTACCTTGCGTCTCTTTCTATTGAGACAGAGTCTCACATTTTGCCCTTGGTAGAGTGCTGCAGCGTCACAGCTCACAGCAACCTCAAACTTTTGAGCTCCAGTGATTCCCTTGCTTCAGTCTCTCAAGTAGCTAGGACTACAGGCACCAGCCACAATGCTCAGCTATTATTTGCAGATGGGGCTCACTCTTGCTCAGGCTGGTCTCCAACTCCTGCGCTCAAGCAATCTATCTGCCTTGGCCTCCCAGAGCGCTAGGATGACAGGTGTGAGCCAGTGCACCAGGCACTACCTTGTATATTTCTGAAATAGTAACCTTAGAAATTTTTCCAGTTCTATTAGTCCTCTCAATTAGTTTTTTTTCCCCCTCTTCCAAAAAATGTTCCTGAAACTGCAGGAAAACACCTTTATGTAAACAACTGCATAGAAAACTACATCTTAATTTGAGGCAAGCTTGTAAATTATCAGCAGTTCTGCTGCAGAACATGGAGGTAGGTCATATTCCCCATATACAAGACCAGATTGATGCAGAATTTTCCATTATGAACACATAAGATGTTATTGCTGTTTTTCATAAAGGTTTTAATGCTAAACTGCTACGATGTCATTAACTCTATTTTTAGAATTACCATAATCAAAAACAGCTACTTTTTTTTTTGTTTGTTTTCTTTTTTTTTTTTTTTTTTTTTTTTTTTGAGACGGAGCCTCAAGCTATCCCCCTGGGTAGAGTGCCATGGCATCACGCTCACAGCTCCAACTCCTGGGCTCAAGCGAGTCTCCTGCCTCAGCCTCCCAAGTAGCTGGGACTACAGGCACCCGCCACAACGCCTGGCCATTTTTTGGTTGCAGCCATCATTGTTGTTTGGCGGGCCCGGGCTGGGGATTCGAACCCGCCACCTTAGGTGTATGTGGCTGGCGCCTTAGCCGCTTGAGCCACAGGCGCCGAGCCTTTTTTTTGTTTTCTTTTTTCCACTTCCCTGTGTGAAGAAACTATTACATTTTAAATTGTTATTTGCATTTTAATTATTACTGGCCGTGTTAGGCAGAATATGACAACATACAAGCTTTTAATTACTAACATTAAACTGAACTACTGTTTCAGATCAAGTGCTATTGGCACCATTTCACAATGCTTTAAAATGATTTAGTTTTATCTTCTACCACAACTCAGCAAAAGCATTTTCCAAACCACAATATACTTAAGTCTGAGAGGCTGAAAGAAGACAGAGGAGGAATTCACCTCCAAAAGTGGCTCCACCTGTAAGAACAGAAGTGGGACCAAGTATTTGTCAAAACAATTAAAAGGGGAAAATATGGTGCAAAAAGATAAAACAACACATTTAGCTATTTCCAACCCACCTTGGAACATTAGTAACAGTGGAAATGATTAGATATTTAAGATGTTTCCATTCCAAAAGACAAGCTAATGACGCCATGTGTCAGATGAATAGCTAACTAGCTCTCAGCTACCCCAACCCTCTTGAGATTACCATTAGTAATGAAGGGCATTTCCCTAGCAGATGGGTTAATAACAGAAGAACATGCTGCAGCAGGTGATCAATACAGAAATGCTGTCACATGGATCAGCTGAAGTTTCAGGCAAGGAATATTAGATGATGTCTACAGGAAGTTTGTTAAGTAATAGCTGAATTATGGAAAAGAGTGGAGAGCAACTGATTCCTTCTAAATTAAATGTTAGTTATGAGGATAAAGATGGAGATGCTAATATAGACACAGTAAATCTGACCTTCAAATTGCACATTGTTTTAGCCTAAACATGTCTCACTCAAAACCAAACTGTGTTATAAAATGACAAAAATTCTTCTCCATTACCATCTGCCAAATTCTTGGTTAGCTCCTAAAAACTGAGTTCGGGCTTTAAAACATCTTGGTAAATATCCAGGTTAAAGGTTTACTCAAAGAACGTCCAGCTCTAGGCACATTTGGATTCAACAGCTTAAAACATACGTAAACTGAGATATTTAAATGAGATATTTAAATACTTACCATTCAGATTTCCACTGGTAGATACTGCACTGCTTTGTTTTTGGTTGTCATAAGCAGGACCAATGTTACTAAGATCCTGGAAGAAAAAATACCCAATTAAAAAAGGAGGCCACATACGTCAATCTGGCAGTGCTCAAAAACAGGAGAAATTCTAATAGAATGGGAACTGAAACTGACAAGCCTTTTTTTTTTTCCGGAGACAGAGTCTCACTATATTGCCCTCAGTAGAGTGTCATAGCGTCATAGTTCACAGCAACCTCAAACTCTTGGGCTTAAGAGATTCTCTTGCCTTGGCCTCCCAAGTAGCTAGGACTACAGGTGCCTGCCACAATGCTTGGCTATTTTTTGTCATAGTTGCTGTAGTTGTCATTATTGTTTAGCAGGTCGAGGCTGGGTATGAACCCGCCAACCCCAGTGTATGTGATTGGTGCCCTAACCACTGAGTAGTGTGTGTCAGGCCCCTGAAACTGATGATCCTAAAGGATTCCTAAACTTGGACTCTTCAGAGATAGGCAAGCATCATTACTGGCACATGTGAGGCAGGCCAAGTGTAAGATCAGAATGGTTGGCTCGGCGCCTGTGGCTCAAGCGGCTAAGGCACCAGCCATTTATACCCAAGGTGGCGGGTTCGAATCCAGCCCGGGCACGCCAAACAACAATGACCACTGCAACCAAAAAATCGCCAGGCATTGTGGCGGGCACCTGTGGTCCCAGCTACTCGGGAGGCTGAGGCAGGAGACTTGCTTGAGCCCGGGAGTTGGAGGTTGCCATGAGCTGTGATACCACCAGCACTCTACCCACAGTGACAGCTTGAGGCTCCTGTCTCAAAAAAAAAAAA